AGCCCAGTCTACCAGGCAGCGGAAAGACTCAGGGAAGATGGAAGAGAAGTATCAGTCAAAGGGGAAATTGGCCAACACCAGCAGAGCTGCTATAGCCAGTGGGCTCACCGGAGACAGCTCTGGGAGCCTCAGCTTCCTGACGACCAAGTGAGTGCCTGCTGCGCTTGAGCACCAGCTGGGGGCCCAGCCCAAGGAACCCATCCTCTGGGAACCAACTTGTGAGCTCCACCAATGTGGGCTGTGCTGGCTGTGCTGGCTGTGCTTTCAAAGTCCCAACATACTGGGAGCCAATGCCATGGGCAGCCGCCCAGGAGCTGTACCAGGCTGAAGACCAGTTTGCCAGCCAGCAAATGATCCAGGAATGCTAGGTCGCTGCAGCATGAGCAGGGGTGGGATTCTCCCAGTTCAGATTGATTGGGCCAATCCCTGGCTCCAAACCGATTTGCTCTGACAAGCATGTGGGCCTGCATGCCCACCCTCTGCTCTTTCCTGTCTTTATGTCTTTGTGTTAGTGCATAGATGAGTCACACGGCAGAGTGGTTTGCTGCACCTCAGCTGTTTTCTTCAGCTGCAGTTGAGTATTAGCTTTTTTAAACACAGTGGCAACTTTAAAACAAGCATAAGAAAGCTTTATGAGTTGTCAGAGCTTTTTCCCATGAATATATTTAATTGGAGAACTTGATTAATGACACCCAGCCCATGAACATGTTTAATTGGAGAATCTGATTTATGAGACACCCAGGGGAGAGGGGGGAAACAAGATCACAGGTGACTAAATTACGCATGCCAGAGTTGGCTTCATACAGGTTGTGCAAGTATGTCACCTTTAATAAATCCTTTGAAGTTTTTTGAAGTTTGGCTCGAGGCTCATGATTTAATTAGGGCAATGACTGGAATCCTGACATGCAGAGCATATGTGCAGAGCACGCACTCACTGAACTGGTTGTTATACCGGTTGAATTGCACCCCTGGGCATGAGCGGAATGCAACCACAGTATTCGAGTGGAGGTTTATAACATTCGCCGACTTCAGTGAATCCTGAGATTGGGGAGTCCAGCAATTACCAAGGAGCCAGACTCTGGAGGGGCTGCCACAGAAATTCAGCCAGCTGAATGGCAGCAGCCAGGGCCAGCACTCTCAATCCATACGCCAATCTGGCCCACCAGCACAAAGAAGAGCCTCTGGACTGCTGGGGCCAGCTGGACCATCATGCCAGCCACCCCTTAGGTTCCCACTGATCAACCAGATTTCTCCTGGTTGGGCTTTCTATTCTGGACAAGGGTGGGTGCAGTGCCAATGGGCACTGGGACCAGTCCCTTGGCCAGCAGCAATTCTACTGCCACCAGTGCTGCCAGCCACACCAGCAGCAGCTCTGCCATGCTTCAGAGCTGCATTTGATGAAACCCCTGGGAAGCTTGCACACTTCCTAAACCAGATCTGGTCCCACTTTGATTGCCATGGGAACCAGTATCAGTCTGATCAGGACATGGTCTTGGCCATAGCTGACAACATGGAGGACAATGCAGCCAAATGGATAGCCAGATTACATGATCAGAGAGCCTTGGAGCTTGGAGATGCTGACAAATTCGTAGAAATGCTAAGAACACGGTTTGAGGACACTGGCCAGGGGCAGGAGACTGAGACTGAAATCAAAGACCTCAAGCAAAGAGGAACTAGTGTGAGAGTTCCAAAAAGTGGTGGGAAAGCTGTGGGATTGGCCAGAACGTCTCCTGGTCCACTATTTCAAAGAGGCTGTGGACCTAGACCTCTGACAGGCTGCCACTTACCAAGGCACCCCTGACCATATACAAGAGTGGTAGCGGATGGCCATAGCCATGGTGTCAAGCTCTGGGTGTTTTCTGACCCCTCCCAGAGCCCAACCCCTCAGCAGGGTTGCAGGGTGGGTACATCCACTGTCAACGAAGATGGTATCCGTGTCCCATGGAAAACAGACCATGTGGGGCTGAGATGATGGCGGTCTTACCATGCAACTTTTCGACAAGACCCAGTTCAGAGGTGCTGCATTGCCAGGAGCTGGAGCCTGCAAAGCCAAGGGGAAGTGAATACTGCTTGTTTTTCCAAGCACCTATTCAGAAGCCTAGATGTAGCCAGTGCTGATTTCAATCCATTTTTGTACTTCAAGGGAGGTGTTGAAGGATGGTGGAGGGGACAGATCCAAGTTGCCCCATGGAAAGAGAGGGTGCGGCTGATGAGGCTGTGGAAGCACTGGAAGATGGAATGGTTCAGTTGGAGGTTGAAGAAGAAAAGCCTACAACTAATGAAACACAGCCGGTGGTCAGGCCAAAATCATCCAGAGCCCCTAAGGAAGTGTGGCTTCGTGAGCCACTGAGCAAGGCAGAGCTTGGCATGGCAGACTGGGGAATACAGCAAGGGCCAGGACAATTACAGGATTGGAGGGATTGGGAGGAGAGTGGTTGGGCAGTGCCTGGATCCAGCAAAACCCTGGATATGCTTAGACTACAGTTTGGGGAAGTAACATTGCAGGAACCACCTTTGTCATCAACAAAACAAACAGATCGTAGACAGAGTTTGGTGCCCTCAGTGATATCTAGAGGTCGTCTGACCAGTTCCAGCCCAAACGTGGAAGTTAGTAGGGGATTAGACCAATATGAACTGCAGTCCAGGTGCCCTCAGGATACTGCCATGACACCACCATTCCAATCTGAGGCAAGGAGATGTGGGGACTCTGGACTAATAGAGCCACAGGGTTGGGAACAGAGAGGATATGGTGTTTTAGGCAGGAGAGAATCCAACAGACCATGGGCATCGGGGCAGGGTCTCATGGGTCTTGGCAGTCCATAGGGGCCACCTCAGGGAAGATAAGGGCCTCCTCTATTACATGCCTCATTTGATAGGGAGCCTGATAAAGTAGCGGTATTCCTAGGCCAGGTCATCAACCATCTAGACCTATATGGGAGGTATTATCCCTCCCAATGGGCTATGGTGGTAGCTGTTACAGGGGTTTAAATAGAGAAGCCAGAGAATGGGTGACAGATTTACATCGGGAACAGTCTACCGAATCGGCTGACATCGGTCTCTTTTTATCTGCCTAATGAGCCCAATTTGAGGACAGTTCCAGAGGCTGAGGAAGATTTGCTGGCTATGAAGCACTGGGGATGGCCAACTAGAGACTACGTTAGCAAGTTTTGACATGCCGCTGGCTGACTTCATGCGTAGCCAGAAAAACTGTTGATCCACCTGTTCAAAGGGGGTTTGGACTGTGAGTTGAGTCAAGCTATTGAATTGGATTCCGGGTTATGGCAGTTGAGGGTGAGAGGAGACGTTGGACCCAGGGTGTGTCGAGGACCAACTAGCCCAGCAAACCCAACAGACAGCACTCCACCTCAGAGCCAATAGGCCCATGGTTCATTTAGGTGCTTCAGATGTAATAGGCAAGGACACACAGGGCAGTGGAGTGTCCCATACCACCATTGGGGCCGCATCTATCAACAACCACTTCAGGATTTACTCATGGTGGGCCAGCCAGATAAACTTGGTAGACACCGGCAAAATTGAGTGGTGCGGTCCAGTTATACAATAGCACCAATATGGAAGGGTAATTGGATGAGGTTCCCACATTGCCTGGGTGTTCGGGTCAACCCAAGTGTGATGTTAGAGAAGAGGGGGCTGATGAAGACCCGATGGTAAGTAGGCCCATTTGTCCATTCATTATACCAGTTGTACTCCAGAATAAATGGACGAATCAGGTGGCGGATTTCAGTGTGTTTATTGATTCCAGGTGTACATGGTGTTCTCCCTCGAGCCGCTCGGAGCATCCAGAGAGTGGGAGGTGCTTCAGAGTCCTCTCTCACAGGCTGAGCTTCAATTGAGGAACGCTCCTCCCCCTCACGTGGCTCCATACTGCGTTCCCCAGTTTTTGCTCAGCCTCAGAGAGACAGGCTGTTTGTAGTTAAGGCTCCTTGGCTGATTCAGGTTTTTCTGCTTATTTCGTCTTATTTCGTCTTATTGCTCCACTCCAACCAAGAAATAAGGTTTGAATTTATATTTCCTAGCCCCTGCGCAAAGGGTATCGACCTAGGGGGAGGTTTTCCGTCGCTCCTAAGGGCTTAAGTGGGCGGGATTGCAGCGCTTCGCGCCAGGCCCCCCCCCATCAGATTGCTTCTCTGCCTCCGTGCCGCCTCAGCGGCTCGTTTACTTCGCACTGTAGCGCGTCGCTGGTTTTCCCCCCACCCGAACGCCGACCTTGGGAAGGGCTAATTCCCTCATTGCAGCCCTCTGGGCACGCTGAGCTAGCCGGAGGAGCCCTCCCTTCCGTCCCGAGCAGCCCTGACGATAGCTCAGCTCATGGTCGGGCGCCATTTTTTTCTCGTATTCTCCGCTGCGGTCAATCTAAGCTCCTACGGACCCCCGGGTCACGAGCTAATTTTACAGTGCCCTTTTGACTATTCGGTTCAGGCACAGCTGTTGGCTTCCTGCAGCCTCACTCCGGGCGAAGATTAGCAGTCTCCTCTCCCCTCCAGTCTTCGTCTGGAGGTCTACTGCTAGGCCTCTCTGACTCAGGCCTCAGGCGTCTATTTGGCTATTCGGTTTCCTTTTCGCTAGCTAGTTTCGTTTTCCCTTCGATCCAAGTTTTTTTTTCTCAACCTTATTGTTGTATTTATATATATATTTTTAAAAAAGAATAATTCCTTTTTATACTCAAAGCATAAAGTATATCAGATAAAGTCTTTATATATATATAAAAAAAATCAAACAAAAAATACTATCCTTGTATATATTTTTACCCCTTTGCTACCTTAAGTACTTTTCCTAGCATTAGCATATTCTAAATTCCAAAAGGGGGTGCGGGCCAGCTCAGAGATCACCCGGCCTTTATCGTAGGCCGAACTCTAGGCAAGCCAACCGCCTCTAGTGATACTTATCCAATTTCACTCATTAATATGGCAGATGACAATTCCTCCAAACGCCCTTCTCTGAAGGCTAAGTCTAAGTCTTACCACTTGTGCAGGCAGGCTCAGGAACCTTCCAAGGCCTTCCAGCGGGACGCCTTAAGGCGCCACAAGGCGTTGGAAAAGGAGTTTGATAGGCGATCCAGGGAGTCACTTTCGAGGCCTCCAGCCATTCCTCCTTCCACTCCCTCCACCTCTACTCAACCCCCCCGCTCCAGACCTCTCTTCCAGATCCAGGCGCAGCTCACCTCAGGGTCTTCAGGCCCCGGGACCATCGACCAGATGAACTCCTGAAGCCACCTTTACACCTATGGCCGCTGGCCTGCACCAAGAGGATCCTTCTACTATGGAGGTCCCAGCTCACATCAAGGCTTGGATGGAACTGGCTATCCGCCAGGGTATTGCGGAGGGTCTGCAACACATGTCCAGACCCGGCTTCTCTCCAAGGGCTCCCGAACATGAGTCTCTGTCCATCAGATCCCTTCCAGGATTGGATCCTCCTATCGGTCAGGTACCTTCACAGAGGGGTAGCCCTCCTCCGGAAAGGGCCCAAGAGGAGGAGGAAGGGGCCTTCGATTATTTCAGGGAAGAGGAGGAGGAATCCCAAATGGGATCTTCTCGTTTCAGTGAGCCTCTCTTAGAGGCAGAGTTGAGCGAGGGGGGAATGTCGGAGGATGAAGGGCTTACCCCCGACCAACCTACATTCGCGGGGTTGTTCAAGTCCCACATTTCAAGTCCCTTCTGTTTAAGGCCAAAAACATCTCCGGCCTACTTCCCCAGTCTCCCTCTGCCCCCCCCTCCACTCCAGAGGGCCAAGAGGACTCCATATTTAGGCAGCCCCTGGTGGAGGCCGAGGTCATCCCAGCCCCACCCATTTTCTCAGACCTAGTGACGAAGCAACTCTTCCACGCCCCCCCCGCGCCTTCCAACCAAGACAAGAGATTCTTTAATCTCAACTCTGACTTTTCTAGTCTGCTAGACACCCCCGAGGTTGATCAGCCCATCGTGGACCTAGCGTCCTCCTCCACTCCCAGCGAGGCATTAGAGGCTCTGAAGCCCAAGGACAAATGGGCGGAACTGGCCTTACGCCGGGCCCACCAAGCCGATGCTTGGGCCATTAGATCAGCCACGGCCGCCTCCTTTTTCACCAGGTCCTCAATCCGGTGGCTTCGTCAGCTGAAGCAACACGTCCCTTCCACCAACACACGTGCTCATCAGGATATAGCAAAGCTCATGGCGGCAGCAGAATTCTCAGCCGATGCCACTTACCAATCTGTGAAGTTCTCCTCTAGGGCGATAACCTCGCACGTTACGGCCCGCTGCCTGCTCTGGCTCAAACACTGGCAGGCGGACATTAAAAATAAAGTTAAACTAGCTTCTGCTCCCATTAAAGGGGACAAGCTGTTCGGCCCAGCCTTAGATCCCCTGCTGGTCGAGGGCTGCAGTAAGAAAAAGTTTCTTCCCTCCCTCTTCCGGAAGTCAGAATCTAGAGGCCCTCAGCCCTTTCTGAAAGGTTTCCCCCATCCCTTCTATCAGCCCCCCTTTCCGCCCAGATACCCGAGACCCCCTTCCTTCCGATCCCAACCCCAAGATCGGACCGACACAGGCGACAGAAGCAGAAGGGGCGGCAGCCTTTAAGGGATCAGGGGGAAGACCCTTCCGTTGTCCCAGATAGAATCCGTCCCTCCCTCCCCATTGGTGGATGCCTCAGACACTTTGCCGCCCAGTGGGAAGCCTCTACTTCCGACGCTTGGGTTAGAGACACCATCAGGTTCGGTCTCACCCTTGAGTTTCGGTCCGCCCCCCCTGACTTCTTCATGACATCCCCCCCCTCCAGGGACCCCTCCAAACGTCAATTGATGGATGCTGCCATCCAGCATCTCCTTGACATTCAGGCCATCCAACCCGTTCCCCCAGCCCAGCGAGGGTGAGGATTCTACTCCCACGTCTTCATGGTTCCCAAGCATTCCAGGGGATGGAGAGCAATTTTAGATTTAAAACGACTTAACCGTCATTTAATTCAGCGCAAATTCAAGATGCACACCCTGCAATCTATCCTCTTGGGTACCAGGCAAGGGGACTGGCTATCCTCCATAGACCTTTCCGAAGCATATTTACATATCCCAATTCGGCCCTCCCACCATAAATTCCTCAGATTTTGTTATGACAACCTTCACTTTCAATATGTGGCCCTCCCGTTTGGTCTGGCATCGGCCCCGAGGACCTTCACCAAGGTCCTAGCGGCCCTAGCAGCCCACCTCAGAAGCCTTCCCGTACGCCTTCACTGCTATTTGGATGATATTCTCATCCTCTCCCCGTCCAAACGCCAGGGACACCAGGGTTACTCTCTCTGCGCTCCAGGCCCACGGGTTCCTCATTAACTGGAAAAAGAGCCAATTGGCTCCCTCCACCCGAATTATTCACCTGGGGGCCGTAATTGATTCGGTCTCAGAAAGGGTCTTCCTCTCCCCAGAGAGGTTCCTCAGTATCCAAAGTTTGGTCAAACAGATTAGATGATCAAAAAAGGTTTCTTTACTCGACCTCTCCAAACTCCTGGTCTCATGAATATCCATTATTCCCTGGGCCCGTTTACACAGCAGATCCCTGCAGTGGTTCCTGCTCCCATTCCAAAGATCCAGAAGAAGCAACTCGAGATCCAGGGTCAAGGTACCTCCACAGGTCCTCACCTCCCTCCTCTGGTGGATCAACCCCGCCATCAACAAGGGCCAGCTCTTCAAGGAATCCCAGAGGCTTACCCTTACCACAGACGCCAGCTTATCCGGATGGGGCACCCACACCAACTCACTCACAGCTCAAGGCAGATGGTCAAGGACGGAACAAGGTTGCAACATCAACTGGCTGGAACTTCATGCTGTCCATCTGGCCCTGCGAAGCTTCCTCCCTCAGGTGCGCGGACGTCATGTCCTCATCCTCACGGACGTCACGGCCAAAGCGCACATCAACAGGCAAGGGGGTACCCAGTCCATTCAATTGATGAGGGAGGCCGAGCGCCTCTGCCGTTGGGCAGAGTCCAACCTCCTCTCGCTGAGGGCAGATCATATTTCTGGAGTTTCCAACATCCAGGCGGACTGGCTAAGCAGGGCCACGGTGGACCAGTCAGAATGGCACCTCCACCCATCCCTGTTCAGGGAGGCGTCCAGGATCTTCAGCCTACCGGTGGTGGACCTTTTTGCTTCCCCGGCCAACACTCAACTTCCCAGGTTTTTCTCGAGATACCTGTCCCACGGGTCGGAGAACCACAATGCACTACACTGCCCCTGCCCCCCAGGACTCCTGTACGCCTTCCCCCCCTAGCCTTGGTGCCCCGGGTGATCCGGAAGCTCATCCTTGAGAAGGCGGATCTGCTGCTGGTGGCCCTCTATTGGCCCAGGCACCCCTGGTTTGCGGACCTCCGCAACCTGTCAGTAGCACCCCCCTGGAGAATCCCCCCGGACAGAATTTCCCTCTCCCAGGGGCCCCTGATGCACCCGGACCCTCAATGGCTCCAGTTAGCCATCTGGAGGTTGAACGGAGCTGTTTAAGAAAAGAGAAATTCTCCAGTCAGGTAATCGACACCATCCTGGCCACCAGGCATCCCTCAACCACACGGATTTATGATGCCACTTGGAATGGCTTCTGCAGGTGGTGTCATAAGTCCCAAATCAACCCCCTCTCCCCCTCTATTGCCCAGGTTCTGGAATTTCTCCAAGAGGGCCTGCTCAAGGGGTTTTCCCCTTACACCCTGAGGCGACAAGTCGCAGCCCTGGCAACTGTTGTCTCCTGCGACAGTTTCGGCTCCCTCTCCCACCACCCTAGGGTCAGGGCTTTTCTCAGAGGTGCAACCAACCTGTGCCCCCCAACTGTTCACAGATACCCTACCTGGGACCTCAATAAGGTCCTTGTTTCACTCACAAAGCACCCGTTTGAGCTTCTTAGGGAGTCTTCCCTTCAATTCTTAACGTTTAAGGTAGTTTTTCTGGTGGCCATCACATCAGCATGGCGAGTTTCAGAAATCGCAGCCTTGTCGGTTAGAAAGGACCTCTGTGTGTTTCACTCCGACCGGGTGGTTCTTCGTCCCAACCCCACCTTCCTGTCTAAGGTCAACTCAACCTTCCACAGGTCGCAGGAACTGGTCTTACCAAACTTTTGCCCTAGACCCACAAGGGACAGGGAGATTCTCTGGCACACTCTAGATGTGAGACGGGCCTTGCGCATCTACATCAAGCGCACCCAGCCCCTGAGAAGGTCGGAATCCCTTTTCCTTTCCTTTCAGCCCAGGTCCTTGGGGCTCAAGGTATCCCCCTCAACCATCAGCCGCTGGATTAGGGCCACTATCTCCAAATGCTACCAATCACAATCTCTCCCCACACCCAGCAGAATCACCGCTCATTCCACCAGGAGTGCAGCTACTTCGGCGGCCTGGGCCACACAAGCTCCAATTGCTGACATATGCCAGGCAGCCACCTGGGCTTCCCCGTCTCCCTTCATTAGGCATTACAAGATAGACGTGTATGCCTCAGCGGAGGCCTCGTTTGGCCGTCGAGTCCTACAGAGGGTCATCAGTGACCCAGAGGGGCTTCCGGCCCATAGGACTGCCAAGCTTTGGTATGTCCCACTCTCTGGATGCTCCGAGCGGCTCGAGGGAGAATGGGCGTTGGTCCTTACCTGATACGCCCCTTCTCGGTGAGCCGCAAGGAGCATCCAGCCCCACCCTATTTCTCCGTCTGGTGCGGGAACTTGTTTCAGCCAAGGATCCACTAGTTCGGTAGGACGAGTACAAAGCCTTTCCTTTTCGTCCTCGCAAAAACTGGGGAACGCAGTATGGAGCCACATGAGGGGGCGGAGCGTTCCTCAATTGAAGCTCAGCCTGTGAGAGAGGACTCTGAAGCACCTCCCACTCTCTGGATGCTCCTCGCGGCTCGCCGAGAAGGGGCGTATCAGGTAAGGACCAACGCCCATTTTGTGACACAGGTGGTGGTGGATAAGTTAGGATTAAGGGTGATACCATTAAACACAACTGTACAGTTTGAACAAGTCGATGGGTCTGTTTTGGGTTGTGGTCCAGCAACACATAGAACAGAACTGGTAAAAATGGAAATGGGATAGCACTGGGAGTGGCTTTCTTTCATAGTAGTTAGACATATGACGGAAGCAGT